AATAAAACTGCCAGTATCATAATGCTTTTATATAAATCTATGATGCAACTACACTTGGAATATTGTGTTTAGTTCTGATCACTGCACCTAACAGCGTGTACGGCTTTTTCTTTTAGGTAGAAGGTGGTGGTGGAAGGAGAGGTGTCTAAAATTATGCATAGTGGAGGGAAAGTGGCTAGACAGAAGTTTTCCTCCCTTTCTCATAACTGCAAATACGGTGGGTGATTTAGGACAGACAAATGGAAGTATTTCTTTGCACAGCTGTGGAACTCACTGCCACAAGACATTGAAATGGCCAACAACTTGGACTGCTTTAAAAGCGGTTTGGACAAAGTCTTGGCGGATATGGCTTTCCATGACGAATGTCCATTATAACGTGTGTTATCGGAGGTCGTAAGCCTCTGAATACCAATTGCGTGGGAGCACAAGAGGAGAGTGCGCACTGGGGGCGCGGGTGGCGCTGTGGTCTAAACCACAGAGCCTAGGGCTTGCTGATCAGAAGGTCGGCGGTTCAAATCCCACGGGGTGAGCTCCTGTTGCTCAGTCCCTGGTCCTGCCAACCTAGCAGTTCGAAAGCACGTCAAAGTGCAAGTAGATAATAGGTACCGCCGGGAAGGTAAGCGGCGCTTCCGTGCACTGCTCTGGTTCACCAGAAGCAGCTTAGTCATGCTGGCCACATGACCTCGGCCAGTAAAGCAAGATGAGCGCTGCAACCCCAGTGGACCTAATGGTCGGGGGTGCTTTTACCTTTTAGGCAAACTAAGGCTTGGGGGCCAGATCCTGCCCAATCGCCTTCTCAATCCGGCCCCGCAGATGGTCCAGGACTCAGCGTGTTTTTACATGAGTAGAATGTGTCCTTTTACAGTATTTAAAATCCATCTCTGGGTTATTTGTGGGGCATGGGAATTTGTTCATATTTGCCCCCCCCCAAAAAAATATAGCCTGGCCCCCCACAAGGTCTGAGGGGCAGTGGACTGGTCCCTCCTGAAAAGGTTTGCTGACCCTTGAGATAGACCTTTGGCCTGATCCAGATGGACTCTCCTGATGCCTGTACATGTCACAGGAGCGTGCCATTAAGTAACCACACAGTTCAAAGATGGAGTTAGCTCTTTATTAGCAAAAACATGATCTCCACAGACTCGACTGAATGTCAGACCCAGGGCTGGTGTGCTGGTCCCGGGGGGAGTACTGTGTGGCATGGTCCGTGTCCGGTCCGAGGCTGAAGCGGGGTCCAAGGCAGGGAGTCGGGCGTGGTCAGGAACTCTGGCAGAAAGCAGGACAGGGTCCCGGCAGGAACAGGTAACCAATGATGCTGCTCCTGCAACCTGGGACTGGGTGGGCTGGCCTTTATCTCCTCTGAGGCTTAGGGCAGCCCTGGTCCACGTGACTCGCCTCTCCTGGCCTTAAGGTGAGCACTCCTCCTGGGAGAAACCAGTTCCCTCCGCCTCTCTGCCCTGAGCCTCTGCAGCTCAGAAGAGGCTGGAGGGTTACTGGACCCAGAGGCAACCTCACCTTCCCCTGACAGGGCTGGGAGAGGAGCACCTGCAGGCGATGGGTCCTCAATCACCTCTGGAGCCAGAGCGGATTCAGCTGGTGTCTGCTCCTGAGGATCTGGCACAGGTGAGGGCCCTTCAGGTTCAAGCCCCTGCCCTGGTTCAGCTGGCCCTGTGCAGGCTGGGATTCCTCAGGTTCAGCCTCTGAATAAGATTCCCAGGCCATCACAGCTGGATTTAGATGATGAGAGGCCCTAGGCTACTCCACTTGTGAGGCCCCTCCCAATCCCCCACCCTCACGACTAGAATAAAATGGAGGCATGTTATAAACAAAACTGAATGAAGCCAAGGATGATGACGGGTATTTAAAATTCTGTAATTCACAATTTCTCCTCTAAAGGATGTCTCTAAGATTCTGCAGATTTTCACTGTGAACTAGGGCCCCACAAAAAAATTCAAGTTGGGGGCCCTAGAGTTTCAGACTGGCTGGCCCCGAGTCTCATAGTTGCTGGGCCCGAGTTGCCCTGCCCTCGCATGAAGTCTTGGGTTTGCAGTTCTGGGAAAGGGGAGACTGCCTGCTGGGGGGTGGGTGGACTGGGGAGGCCCCCTAGATTTAGAGGCCCTAGGCTTCAGCCTACTTAGCCATTGCTGTCCCTGCCTCCACACAGCCCTCTCCTCTCCAGAGCTTTTCCCCAAGCAATCAGAGACTATGCCTGTGTGCAGACAACCTCTTTTCTGCCCATTTCATGACTCTTCTGGGAGACCAGGGTGGAGGGGATCTACTCGCTTCAGGAGGAGGAGACACACAAACCTCTTCAACCTCTGCCTCTTGGCTCCCTCCCCTCCTGCTTCAGCTTCTACCTCTCATTCTGGACTTCTCTCTTCTGCAGACTCTCCCAGCTGACTAAGCCCTATGACCTCTTCAGCTTCCAACACCACCTCCTCTCAGTCTTCTCCCTCTGACCACTCATTGTTGCCCCACCACCAACCCGCTGGGTCTGAGACTTCTTCCCTTGGTGGTTCCCCAGCTGGTTCCTCCCACTACTCCTTGGACTCCTCCAACCAGTCCAAGACAATATGTGAACCTCCTTGTATATATTGCACAGAGCTAAAGCTAAAGGGTATTGAGTCTGCCTTGTCCTGCATTGGGAAGAGCATTTAAGAGCCGAACTACATGTTACACCAGCTTTCCCTCCAAGAGGGCCAAATTAGGTGCACTTGTTTTAACCATGTGATTAACCTCACATGTAAAGGTAAAGGGACCCCTGACTCTGGGGTTGCGGCGCTCATCTCACTTTACTGGCCGAGGGAGCCAGCGTACAGCTTCCAGGTCATGTGGCCAGCATGACTAAGCCGCTTCTGGCGAACCAGAGCAGCGCACGGAAACGCCGTTTACCTTCCCGCCGGAGCAGTACCTATTTATCTACTTGCACTTTGACATGCTTTTGAACTGCTGGGTGGGCAGGAGCTGGGACCGAGCAACAGGAGCTCACCCCGTCGCGGGGATTCGAACCGCCGACCTTCTGATCTTAACCCACAGCGCCACCCGCGTCCCTTAACCTCACATGTAGTTCGGACCTAAGAAGGGAGGCCTACTGCCATTTGTTTCCTTGTCAATATCCTATTGCACAAAGTAGTTTAATTATGCAAACTTTTTTATATGACCCATTTCCTCCCCCCTCCTTTGCATAATACTCACTGTATCATCCACAGGATTTGCATTCCCAAGTACCAAGAAGGCAGCAAAAGGCACAATTAGTGCATTTTATGTAATAACTTTGTCATTTTTAATTAGAACAAAATATAATGAGAAAGAGGGGGGAGAGTAGGGCAGGCCTCTGAGGAATGCTCCATTTAGAGTTAGTTTGCTTGGACAGCACTCTGTTTTGATCAGAGGCAGCAATTAGAAGAATTTTACGGAACAATTTGAGGACTCCTACATTAAAGTGAAGGCAGAGGCTAACATGCATACCATATATTTAAAGCACATTTTATATTTTTTACCATATATTTAAAGCACATTTTATTTTTATTTTTTTAAAAGATATTTATTATAGTTTTCAAAATGTTACAAAAAGAAAAAAGAAAAAGAAAAAATACAAAGTAAAAACAGTTAAAAACAATTCAATCTTTCCGTATCTTTCATTTGCTTGTTCCCCAGACCTCCTCACACCTCCCTTTTTTGTATTCCAGTTCAATTAGTTGGTTCAGCAAATCCTTTCCCTCTTTGTTTTTATCCTAATCTTTAATCTTAATATATTATAACTTTAGATTATCACCTGTTAACAATCCATTTTTGCACATCTTTATAACATTACTGCTGAAAACCACTTAACTTCAATCCAACATCATTCTAACATTCATTAATTTTGCAGTATTTCTGTAAATAGTCTTTAAATTTCTTCCAATCTTCTTCCAATCTTCTTCTCCCTGGTCTCAGATTCTGCCAGTCATTTAAAGCACATTTTAAGCCCCCCCCCCATAAACCCTTGGAACTGTAGTGCTTGAAATAGTTGTGACAACCTACACAGAAGTCTGCATGTTACTTCCCAGTAGATAAATTATTATTATTATTGTTATTGTTTATTAAATTTATATACCAACCTCCATCCAAACAAACCCCGCAGAGGGGTTTACAATTCTATAACATGTGAAATAAACCTTAAAAGTCACAGGCAGAGGAGGTAACCCAATTTCTGGTAAGGGCATTCGAAGCTGGGACACAGACGCTTGCACAATGCTCAGCCGTGTCACCCTCCAGCACCAAGCTGCATGTGTGAAATGGGCCATCATCACCCACACAACTCAGTCAACAACCATATGGGTTCAAACACAAGGCTTCCTGGGAACCCATTCACACGTTCTCAGTCACACACATCGCTTGCTTTCTCAGCACTAGGTGGCTTCCTTTTAAACCCTGGCAGCAACCGAACGTGTGAACGGCCTACCCCAGCGAAAAGCACTTGGGGGCCAGCTGATCGAAAAGCCCAGCCCTTTCCGGGTGGCTCCTCGCCCTGTTTCTCTGTGCTGGTGGCGCGTTCACACGTGCAAGTCCCCGCTGGCTGAGTGGTGGGTTGCAGGGAGAGGCTGACCTTCTGCACGTGTGAACCCTGCTGGACAGCTCCTTTCCCCTCCTCCTCCTCTCTAGCTATGCGCCGCTGCGCGCTCTCCGGGGATTCAACCAGCTTGGCGCGCGGGCCCGGGGGATGCGCGGCCGCGGTGGTGGGGCTCCTATCCCCGCCGAGCGCCAGGCAAGCCGGCTCCCCTCCTTCCCTCCCTCCTTCCCGGCCTCGAGCGAAGGGCAAGCGGCGGGGCTGGCACGAGGAGGCGGCTCCTGCCTGCGCTCTCCTCCCCTTCCCTCCCCTGCGCGCCGGAGAGAGAGGCAGGCAGGCAGCAGCCCTTGCCACCTCCGCCTCTTGCAAGCAGCCGCGGCTGGAGCTAGGAGGCAGCGGCGGTGCCCGCAGAACGCGCTGCCCGTCCCTCGCAGCCTCCGCGCCCGCCCGCCCGCCCGCCCGCCTGCCTCTGTCTCTCTGGGCCCCGCGGCTCCGGGCAAGAGGCCGGCTGCGTCCCTGGAAAGGCAGTGGCCGGAGCCAGGGCTGACCGGGCAGGTGAGTGCTGCCGAAGCGGGCGAAGGTTGCCGGGCGAGCCTGGCTCTTGGAGACGAGCGGATGGAGGCTCGGGGGGAGAAATCGGGGTCCAGACGCGCGTTGACGCTTCACGTGTGCGCTCGCTGGTTGCGTGTGCAGACGCATCCCGGAGGAAGCTGCCTTCACTCGAGTCAGTGTTGTCTACACTGGCCGGCAGGGGCTCTCCAGAATTTCAGGCTGGGGATATTCGCAGCACTACCTGGAGATGCGGTGTGTGTGTGTGTGTGTGTGTGTGTGTGTGTGTGGAATCTGGGACCTTCTGTTTGCAAAGCAGGTGATTGCATTAATTAACCCAGGATAACTAGTACTGCAAATGTGCATTTTAAAAACAGCAATTCTGCGCTACCTGAAGCGTGCGTTGATTGAATCTGGCATGTGTGTGTGTGTGTGTTGGGGACCCAGCTCTTAACAATTTATTAATTGACCTAGCTGAGAGCAATACCACAATTATTATTTACTTTATTTGCACCCACATTGTATGGCTCCAGCAGAAAGGGTGGGGGAAAGATGCGAGGTTGCTCTCCATCTATGTGCAATAAGAGAGGGGAGGGGGGAACTTCACAACTATGCGATGTTGGGCATGCAGTTGTCTGCTGGGGGAGAGATTTGTGCTGGAAGCTAGGAATCGCGGGCTTCTCTGGAGTGCGACATGTTTAAACCTCAAAATGCATACAGATTTTTCTGAAGAGTCCAGCGCCCTGGCATTCCACCCGTGTTCATTACGGGAGCTAGAATTCTGCTAATGTAGAAGACATTTAGTACCATGTCACATGTCTGAGGGACTTCATTCCAGCTTTATCTCATCCTGCTATTTATTGTTCCTGTTACTACCATTGATTTATTAATTGCCTTCTGAACCGCCATCTCAAGGTGATAATGAAAAAAGCACTTCTAAGTTTATTGTGTTAGGGTTTCATGTACAAAGTGGGATGTTATTTCGTGTTTCTTTTTCCATGGGGGGGGGGGAGTGGGGGAGAGAACAGGGTGGGGGCTTCACCCAAGTGTCAGTGCTGAAAATGTATGTATGTTTGTATGCCGGTGGCTTTCTCCTTTTCTGTTGGTATATAATGGGGGGAATCAAGTTTATATAACATGCCTATATGCATAGATTAAATAACCACTGATGGGAGAGATTATAGTAATTGTATCACCTCCAGGAAGGGCAGTAGTATGGAGATGTTTGCTTGGAGCTAAAAGCACATGTATCCTTGTTCCTTCTGCAGGACAGGGGAGAGGAGGAGATGACGATCTGATGTGACTTGATCACACACTGGTCCCTGTGTTGGTTAATTAAATAGCATAGCAGCAAAGGAGAGAGATGGAAGAGTTTTCAGAGCAGCAAGCTCCTGTTCTCTATATGGTCATTACCAATGGTTTATTAGCTATTTAGTGTCACTGTTAGAGGGAGGGGGGGGGCAAATCGACCCTTCTGGAAAAGCTGAAGTGGCTTTGCTTTTTCGGAGTTCTTTAGTATGCAAGTCCATGTGTTGTAGAGTGTTACACTTGGACCAGGTAGACACAGGTTCGAATCCCCATTCAATCGCTCGAACCCACCCAAATCGGCCATGTGGAAGGTTCAGGAAAGGCAGTGCAAATAGCTCAGTCGATAGAGTATGAGACTCTTAATCCCAAGGTTGTGGGTTCGAGCCCCACGTTGGGCGAAAGATTCCTGCATTGCTGCAGGGGGTTGGACTAGATGACCCTCGTGGTTCCTCTGCAAAATCAGGCCCAGTACAGTGGTACCTTGGGTTACATACGTTTCAGGTTACATACACTTCAGGTTACAGACTCCGTTAACCCAGAAATAGTGCTTCAGGTTAAGAACTTTGCTTCAGGATGAGAACAGAAATCATGCTCCGGCGACGTGGCAGCAGCAGGAGGCCCCATTAGCTAAAGTGGTGCTTCAGGTTAAGAACAGATTCACGTTAAGAACGGACCTCCGGAATGAATTAAGTACTTAACCTGAGGTACCACTGTATACCTGAAGGAGCATCTCCACCTCCATTGTTCTGCCTGGACACTGAGGTCCAGCTCCGAGGGCCTTCTGGCGGTTCCCTCACTGCAAGAAGCAAAGCTACAGGGAACCAGGCAGAGGGCCTTCTCGGTAGTGGCGCCTGCCCTGTGGAACCAGATGTCAAAGAGATAAACATCTACCTGACATTTAGCAGACATCTGAAGGCTCACGGAAGTTTTTAATGTGTGACATTTTAATGTATTTTTAATCTAATTTGGAAGCCGCCCAGAGTGGCTGGGGAGACCCAGCCAGATGGGCGGGGTACAAATAATAAATTATTAGTATTATTATATGATTCTGCAGTAGTTCTTTGCGCAGTGAAGGACAGTGCAAAACGAAGGAATTTGCTCCCACAAGAGGTTGTGACGGCCACCAGCTCGGTTGGCTGTTAAAAGATGATGAGAGAAATTCACGGAGGATTGGACTATGAAAGATTCCTAGGCATAGAGTTGAGAGGGACCTTGAAGATCTTCTAGACCAACCCCCTTTAATGCAGGAATATGCAGATGTCCCATACGGGGATCGAACCTGCAACCTTGGCTTTATCAGCACCACGCTCTAACTGAGCTATGCAGGCTCTTCCTGTGATAGCTAAGGTCTACCTCCACTGTCAGAGAGGTTATGTCTCACAATACCAGCTGCTGAGAATCACAACTGGGGAGGGAGCTGTTGTGCTCCATTTCTGCCTGTGGGCTTCCCACAGGCATTTGGTTGGCTCCAGTGAGAACCACAATTTTTTCTGGTCTGTTTTGGACCAGTCAACTTAACCTCCTCACAGGACTCTGTTGAGGATGAAATGAGAAGTCTTGTGTCTGTCAGCTTGAACCTTTTGGGAAGAGACTGGGCAACTCGGGCTATAAATGTACGTTTCAACTTGGCTCACGTCGGCCATTTTGCAAGAATAGTGCAAAAATTGTTGCAAGAGGTAGGAAGCCAGCCATATTTTGCTGGTATAGGGTCACCACCTTTAGGGGGTCTGTGGTCGGACTTGACATAATCTTCCTTCGCTCCTATGGTCCACAGCTACACATGGAGCCATAGCTGTCAACTTTTCCCTTTTCTTGCGAGGAATCCTATTCGGAATAAGGGAATTTTCCTTTAAAAAAGGGAAACGTTTACAGTTATACGTGGAGCCAGTTGCCCAGCTCATCTTTTAACTTCCAAATGGTTTCTGGGCACCTGAATTTTTGCACAACTGTTTCTCTCTCTCTCTTTTTAATTAATTTTTATTAAGGATTTTTTTGTGTTACAAAACAGGGAAAGCTACACCTATCGCCTCCACTTTCAATTCACAGTCTTTTTCACAGTTCATTTACATTTAGTGAGAGACACTTTTGTCATAAACACACACAGTGTTCCCATTACTGCTGACAACATTGGTTAAAATCCTGCTACTGGAACATCACAATTCATGTGCCACAAAGGCACGTGACATTGTCTCACTGACATGCCCCCCACCGTAAGCGATGGGGAGATGACCTGCTCTTAAGCACTTAAGCAAGTCCCCCCCCCCAATCACTGAGACATAGGACCAATTGGCTGAAAGCCATGTGGTCCAAACTACCCCAAACAATGCTATTTCCCCACTAAGTGTTTCTTTCTCTAGCCCAGACGTGCAGCCCGGAATAGATGCAAATCTATAAATAATGACATGCATATTTTAGAACCTGGGTAACTTTTGCGGTAATACAGAGAGCAGAATGAGCAGGCCAATTCTGCAGCTGGGCTTGTGGCGGTGCTTTGCCAAGGCTTTTGGTGGTGCACTGGAAAAAGCGAGCTATGCTCCTCCAGCAGCAAAACAGCATGAGAATCTGCAGAACAACAACAGCCCACAGAGTCTTTTGCAACTTCATTGCCACCCATCAATCACAGTGACATCCCTGCTAGCCATTCGCGGAAGTCACAAATCAACGTGCGTTGATGGCACTGAGATAATGTTACAGAGCTCTCTCTTTCTCATGTACACACACAAAGAGAGAGTCTTTGTAAGGCAGAAGAACCTATTGCACTGCTCTCTCTTCCAGGCCTCCATAGCTCAGGCCTCGACACAGTTGCAAGCATAAGCTACAGGCTATCAATGAGCAGTTTGAGTCCCGTTGTGGCTCCCCCATGAGCATTCACCAAACTGCACACAACATACATTTGCATCCCTTGTGTGTGTGGGAACAAGCCCTTTTGAATGGAGAGAGATAAGGAAGGGTCGATGTCACAGTAATAATGGCCCAGGAGGCAACGTCAGCACCTTGCTGGCAGTTCTGTGGAAGAGTGAGCTTCAGTCTTCCTGAGAGATGTTGGGAGTAAGTACACAGGGTCTTCGTTTTGGGTGTCCAAAGGGCCACCATAATTTCAGAAGGGAGCTGGAGAAGCAGTGAGATTGGGAGTCTCCTGTGTCACAACCTCCCCATGCTGGAGCAGACCGGAGAGAGAAAGAGGGAGAGGCAAGGAAAGATTAGGGAAAGGGTCCCCAGCTCTGTGGTGGAACATCTGCCCTGTATGCACAAGGTCCCAGGTTCAGTCCCTGACATCTGCAGGTTGAGATGGGAGAGACTGCTGCCTGAAACCCTGGCGATCAGGCTTCTGCCAGCCAGTGTCAGCAACACTGAGCTAGATGGGCCAGTGGTCTGGCTCTGTGTAAGGCACCTCCTGAGTTTCTGTGATAGGAAACTTTGTGGACACCAAGTCTGACGCAGTCTCTGACTACCTGCCTGCCTTCCATGAAATCCAGGACTTGCTGTGCTATATTGCCCAGTACTGAAGTGGCCCTATGTAAGAGCAGCGAAACAGCTCAAGCTTATCATGCAAGAAGCTCCCAAGTCTGATCCTTGACTACAGATGTCCATTAAAAGGGGATGGGGATCACTACCTGAGACCCAGAGCCTCATGCAACAACTGTCTAAGTTATGGTGGGGAACCTACAGTTCCCTAGGATTCTTTAGAGAAAGTCGTAGTGTGGATAGTACAGCCCTCATCTGTTTTTCAGCCATGTGTAGGTTTGGTAGCTCAACATTTCATGTTTGCAAGCTGAAATGATGTTCCAGTTCTGTCATTGACACATGTGTTTGTGTGTGTGTGTGTGTGTGTGTGTGTGTGTGAGAGAGAGAGAGAGAGAGAGAGAGAGAGAGAGAGATTTGGACTTAAACATCAAAACATAACTGCTGCTTTTTCAAAACCACACCAGTAGCTTTCTTGCAGCAGAAAGTTGACTTTTCTTTTCTATTTTTTCCCACCTCCCACATTTCCAATGTTGCTATTTGGTTTTATTTCCTTCTAGCAGCCTGACACCAGAATTTCAGTTTCAATGTGTGAAATTCTTTGGAATGCTCAACAAGAGCAGCAGCAGGTTGCATGAGACGTCGGTTTGAAATGCACAGCGGCACATAAGCTGACTTCCAGCTAGATGGATTATTTTTTTTAAAGGGGGGAAAAAAGCATTGAAGTTTCCTTTCTGTGCAGTGAGAAAACCTGCCAGTCTTAGCATTCGCCTTTCAGGTAAACAATGCTCCGGTTGTTTGATCCCATTATCACAGCGAGGGTTTTGAACTGGGTTTATTTCTTTCCCTTTGTCCAGGTCACCTGCCCAAATGGGAAATGGGTCAGTGAAACACAAGTACCTGAAGAGGCCAGACAGTCATGTGGGAAACTGCCCTCTGGGCTGCTCAGGGAGCAGCAAGCTCTTGAAAGACCCGGGACTGAACATCAGTACGATCACAGGTGCGGCGGATATTCTGAGGAGCAAGATCTGGGAGCTCGAGAGGGAGCTGAAGAGGCAGGAAGAAGAGCTCCACGAGAGGAACTACCACATCATCGAGCTGCAGGAGCAGCTGGCGAAGCAAACCCGGACCATCGCCGACCTCACTGAAGAGCTAAAGTGCAAATGCATCCAGCTCAACAAGCTGCAGGATGTTGTGGACACCCAGGGGACAAACCCCTTCCTGTTCTCCCCTCTTAAAGAAGCGCCCAGGGCCAACCATGCCGCCCCCTACAGCAACAGGAGGAGAGGTGCGAAGGAAGGTGTGTCTGCAGAGCCCACGAGCCGGACGTACGACTTGAGCGAGCAGCCTCGCTTCTCCTTCAAAAAGGCGAGAGTCAGAAAGGCCTCAAGGTGAGAGGGCACACTGCGCTGTGCTGGGGCGATCGGTGTGTGCACCAAAGTATGCGTAGCTAGGTGCATCCTTCACGGGGTGGGTTTGATTTAAATCAAATCAATTTAAATCATGATTTAAGTCAAATCAATTTACCGTATTTTTCGCTCTATAAGACGCACCAGACCACAAGACGCACCTAGTTTTTGGAGGAGGAAAACAAGGAAAAAAATATTCTGAATCTCAGAAGCCAGAACAGCAAGAGGGATCGCTGCGCAGTGAAAGCAGCAATCCCTCTTGCTGTTCTGGCTTCTGTGATAGCTGTGCAGCCTGCATTTGCTCCATAAGACGCACACACATTTCCCCTTTTTAAGAGGGGAAAAGTGAGTCTTACAGAGCAAAAAATACGGTAAATCACGATTCATGTCAAATCAATTTAAATCATGATTCAAGTCAAATCGATTTAAATCATGATTTAAATCACTAGTCAGTAAGACTTGATTTTAATTTTTTAATTTTTTTACAGAAAGACTCATTCTTGCTGGTATAATCTTAATATTCACAACCAGGTGAAGGTTTCATTTATTTATTTAACTAAAACAATAACATTAGAGCATATGTATCCATGTTTGTTAACTGATGTGGTTAAACGATTTTTTAAAAAAAACAAACAAACCCCTTAGACTGAGTTTTAGCAAACATGAAAAACTTAAAACAATTCCTTATTTCCTGATGAATAGCCTTTGGACTGTAATGTAACTTCAACAGAAAACTATCTTTAGAAAGATTTTTTTCCTTCAAAAGCATTTCATTTTAAAAATCTGATTTAAATTTTAAAAAATCTGATTGAAGTGGGAAAAAAATCCTATTTAAATAAAAAAGTCTGGGTTTTTTAATAAAAAAAATCATTGATTTTTTATCCACCTTGATCCTTCACAGGATAGTTGTCTGCTGCCGTGATAGCTGTAAGTGTGTGAGACAGCTCTAATGCTGCGGTTTTAGATGCACGCTTGTGGTTGTTTATAGAATTTGGGCAAGGAGCCAGTAGACTACCACAAGTGTGTGGGGAGGTTTGAATGCCTCATACAGACAGATTTGCCCCTAGCCCTCTGATTCCCCTCCCTGTCTGCCGCTGAGCAGCTGAAAGGGGCGAAGGCTCTGAGGTTGTGCAGAGGAATGCATTTGCAGCCGCCTCTTCTCTAAGAACCTTTGCAGCAAGAAGAGCAACGCATCTGGGACAGAAAAAGATTGCACCACAATGTGCCCTGGGCTTTCATAGCTGGCATGGGCTTTCAGGGTGGCCTTGGGATCACACTGCCTTGCTGTACTTTGTTGTTTAGTTAAGAGGTATACCTTGAGCGTAAGAGAATGCCTTTTTTGTTCATGCTGCCACAGCAAAGCTATAATTCTTCGGAGCACAGATGTCAAGCGAAAAGGAGTGTCTGTCTCTGAGGAACTTGCCTATAGTTGGACAAGAGGGAAAGGCTGGGCTGGGCTTGGATGAGAAGGAGCTTGTGTGCAAGGCTTGTGAACTAGTGAATGTGAGACTTCAGTACTCATAAACAGGAGCCCAAAATGGGGAGATGGTGGTTGGTGCTCCCCTCAATAATGCCCATTTGGTGTTTGCAAATGGGTGTGGTAGATTACGCTTAAATGTGTGTCTTAAACTGTGTGTTTATTGCCCATCAAATTTATTTCTGGATTTATTTCTGGAATAATAGTGCTGGCTGTGCACAATAGACAGGTTTTTCTGGATGGTGCCTGTTACTGTGCAGAAAAAAACTAAATATTAACCCAGGCTTTCAAATACCCATTCATCTGTTGCCCTTGTAAGAATTGCTTTCAGACCCTGAAGCAGAGAAGCGTTTGTAAACTGGGAGAGTTTATTCTTTTCTTCTCAGGTCCTTGGTACACCACAGATGGCTGGCATAGGTCTGTTTGAGCAGATAGGCTAGTAAGAATTCTTGTTCACTAAAGACTTTTGATGTTGTATCATTCTGTTCCAGGACATACAGTGGTACCTCGGGTTAAGTACTTAGTTCGTTCCGGAGGTCTGTTCTTAAACTGAAACCGTTCTTAACCTGAAGCACCACTTCAGCTAATGGGGCCTCCTGCTGCCGCTGCATCGCCGGAGCCTGATTTCTGTTCTTATCCTGAAGCAAAGTTCTTAACCTGAAGCACTATTTCTGGGTTAGTGGAGTGTGTAACCTAAAGTGTATGTAACCTGAAGCGTATGTAACCTGAGGTACCACTGTACTATTAGTTAAGGCGCTCATTTTCTTCTTTGTTTTCTTTCCCACTCACTATGCTCTTCTGGAACTGTTTTTTAAGGCTGCCTCATTCACTCCAGAAGCAGTTCCTAGGTCTCAGCATAATGACAGCACTCACAGATTTTGTGAGACTATGTCTCAGCCAAATAAGGCAGTGTCCAGAACTTCTTCCCTGTATGTTGACTCTAAACAGAATGGTGACTGTATTTTAAGAGCCTATTTTAGACAGAGCATTGAACAGGCCTTTTCAGTGGTGGCTCCCTGGTTGTGGAATGCTCTCCCCAGGGAGACTCACACGGCACCATCTTTATCTATTTTTAGGAACAAGAAAATTGTTTTCCTTTTTACCTGGGCTTTGCGCCTTTAATTTGAGCAGTTTCAAGTACCTGTCGCCTCTTTTTAGTGGGATAGGTTTCCTAAGCCCTGTCATTTATTTATATGGATATGTGGTTTTGTTTTGTTTTTAATTTTTTATTTCCAAAACCGGAAAAAGAAAAATTACAAACATCAAATTCAACATCCATATTCATTTTCTAACATAAACCTGTTACATAATTAACTAAATTAAAATATACCTAATTACTCTAAACTTCTCTTTGCTTTTCTTTGCTGTATACAAATGTAACACAGTTAGAAATTTTATATTAAAGCTTTTATATTATAAATAATACTTCAAATTCCCAAATTCACATGGGTGAAGGGGAACGGGGGGTATAGGGATGTGGTTTGTTTTTTTAGGTTTTTATTGGTTGGTTCATTGTGCTCAGTGACTAAATAATAATAATAATATAATATAATCACTTTTTTGAAGAGGGAAGCTGGTGGCACACTTGTTAGATGTATATTTTTAGTAAGACAAAAGCAGTTTCAGCTTAAAACAGGCTATGTACTACAAGAATTAGGAACTAGGAACTAACGGTTGCATTTTTTTGTTCTCTGCCATTGCCTCCATTTAGGGCACTGAGATTTTCAGAGACTCAGTCCCAGTTCTTTGGCCACAAGTATTCAGCACCATTGTAGGGAAACTGGAGCACCATTGGTCCTCTGGGTCGCAAACATATCCTTTGTCCACTAGTTATGGAAAGAGGCTATGACTCCTGTGGGTTATAACTGAATTTGCAGTGCAATTAGCTCTGGAGACTACATAATGAAATTCTGCTGCAGTTTGGATTCCACTGGAAAGAAACTCAAATCTGCATGGTTAAGCAAGGAAGATTCTACAATAGCAGGTTTTTGTTTTCCCCTTTTGGGCCTTTCCCCGGGAGCTGCAGATATAGCAATAAGGTGGATAGCTGCTCACCACCTGAAGTTAACAGCATTAAATTGCCACTGGCCACATGAGAGAGCCAGAGACAAGCAGGTATTTTTTCCAGTTTCCTAACCTTGCACCCTCTGCCGTTTCCTTTGAAATAAGATTTGTTGTTGTTTAGTCGTTTAGTCGTGTCCGACTCTTCGTGACCCCATGGACCAGAGCACGCCAGGCACCTCTGTCCTCCACTACTTCCCACAGTTTGGTCAGACTCATGCTGGTAACCTCGAAAACACTATCCAACCATCTCGTCCTCTGTCTCGTCCTCTGTCGCCCCCTTCTCCTTGTGCCCTCCATCTTTCCCAGCATCAGTGTCTTTTCCAGGGAGTCTTCTCTTCTCATGAGGTGGCCAAAGTACTGGAGCCTCAGAAATAAGATTAAAAGGGGAGTTATAGGTGCCAGGAAGCCAACTTTCAAACATTTGAGAAATCTTGCTTCTCATATCAAACCAAAACATTTGTATACCTCTAGTGCAGTGTTTCCCAACCTTGGGCCTCCAGCTGTTTTTGGACTACAACTCCCATCATCCCTAGCTAGCAAGACCAGTGGTCAGGGATGATGGGAATTGTAGTTCAAAAACAGCTGGAGGCCCAAGGTTGGGAAACACTGCTCTAGTGTGTGTAGCATGGGCTAAATGTATAACAAAAGCCTAAGCGATAGGGCTGTTAATGTGGTAAATAATAATTATATGGATTATTAGGCTCTTGTGCTTTTATTTGGAACCCAAAATATAAAAGAAAACAAGTTTCTTTGCCCTGGATTTTAGGACATGATGGTTGCACAGCGACATAATTCTAAGAGTTCTGTGCCCATTTCCCAAAGCCAGATTCTGAGACTAAAGGGAGGTAAGCAACTTCTTTGAGACTTGAACACTCCTATTTCAGACAGCAAACAAGCAGGAAGAGTATGTTTACTTCACCCTAAGAAGAAAGCTCAGAGCCTAGGACTTGCGGATCAGAAGGTCGGCGGTTCGAATCCCCGCAACGGGGTAAGCTCCCATTGCTCGGTGCCAGCTCCTGCCAACCTAGCAGTTCAAAAGCACGTCAAAGTGCAAGTAGATAAATAGGTACCACTCCGGCGGGAAGGTAAATGGCATTTCCGTGCGCTGCTCTGGTTTGCCAGAAGCAGCTTAGTCATGCTGGCCACATGACCCGGAAGCTGTATGCCGGCTCCTTCGGCCAATAAAGCGAGATGAGCGCCGCAACCCCAGAGTCGTCCGCGACTGGACCTAATGGTCAGGGTTCCCTTTACCTTTACCTTTAAGAAGAAAGCTCAGAACATCTCAGTCCCTCTGCCATTAGAGACCTTCTAAAGGCAACACACCAAACTGGGGGTGCAATTCAGTCAATAGCATACAAGACTGCAAGGGACAGGATGTGTGAATAGACAACGATAGTTAGTAAGGTGTGAGTGATATTACGCTCCTGAGCTGGCCAGCTGC